TACTTTAAGATAAACAAATAGAAGAAAGAAATATATGGTAAACATAAAAATGTGTGGTTGAATTCTAATGAACGTTTCAAAATATGAGGCTATTCAGGAAGAGAGATAGAGACTGTTAGGGTCACAGGAAGGCAAGCCCAGAGACCCCCCTCCTAATTCTCCCCTGCTAAGCCAAACTTAAAACAAAAACAGTCTCAAGCTTTGTAAACAGGGCACCTAGGTTCCAGGATGTGGTCGCACCCAGCTCTCGAACCCAGGATGGTGACCCAATTAAGCAGAATGTTAGCACCTAAGAACCAAGATGCACTTTTCCTTAGAACAGCACCCGGCTACCTGCAAACTCCCTATATAACCCCCATAGTCTATAAGCCAGGCTGCTGCCTTCACTGTACGTGGTGAGGCAGCCAGCCTGGCAAGTTGAAATAAACTTGCTAAACCTGACCCTGGGTCTGCCTCTCATCCTTCTGGTCAACCTCACAGATACAATGTTATTTTATTATGAGTACATCACGCAAATGAGCTGCATTTGTGTTTGAGTATGCATAAACGCCAAAAGGATATAGAGAACAGGTTTTCTAACAATACAGAAAGAAATTTAGCTGAAGGGTTTATGTGTTACATTAAACTATGGAATACAATTTTGTTTCATTTGCTTATTTGCGAGATCCTCCAATCCTGTAGAGTAGAGGACTAAATGAACTACAAACTTTGCTTTAACCTTCATCTTGGAATTCATTTCCTACCACTTTTCCTCTTATTAAACTGAACTGTTGGTCCTAAATCTGCCTGTATACATGGTGAACTATAACCTAACTTAATGTATAAACAACCTGCAACATAACTTCAGAGTATATAACAAGTAGCAAAGTCTCAGCAAATCATAGCAACCTCATTAATCTTCAGTAAACGATAGGCCAAAACCTGGCAAAACATTCAAATAAGGCAAACATAGAAACTATAGTCAATCAGGTTATTTCTGCATGTCATTTCTATTTCTCTGGCTGTAAATGTTGCCTACACACCTTGTGGGATGAAGCTCTCTGCACTGCTTTTGGTCCTGAATGTTATATGGTTCATAAATCTTTATTATTTTCTCTGCTCAATTAAACTGTTAAATTTAACTTGTCTAAGGTTTTTCTTTTAACATTGTCTAAGTTTATATTGGGAGATCTCCCGAGCAGATGTAATTGCTTTTATAACAATGTCCATTCATTTATTCTTTAAATCTCCCACCAGGATTTCCATTGTCTCATTATTCAGGTTTCCTACTCCATGAAGACATTTTGTTGGGATACCTTTTGGTATTCATAGAAAAATGTTGACACACAAAGACCAAGTGATTGTACATCATAATTAGTAATTAGTTTAGTGTTTTTAAAAACTGTTCCTCTGGGACACATTTTAATGTAACTAATAGCAAAGCAGTTCAAGATGCTCTTCCGTGGGGCCCCTTGTCATTGAGTCAGGAACCATGCTTTTCTTTGATCTTAAGTATAAATAAACCATTACTTCAGCAAGTATGAAAGAATTACTTTGATAGCAAACTGGTAAGGGTTACTGTACTTTTAGTTTTTTCCAGTGATTTAATACAGGTCACCATTTGAACATGGCAATACTCTGCAAAAAACTACAGTGAGTATCTATGGACATATTGTCTAATTCTTAAGTTTACCCTAAAATAATGGCCTGAATAGAGATATTTTTGAGTCAGGTAACATATTTAATTCCTTTTTAGTCATAGCATAAAAAAAAAATCCATCCATGGATTGTAGTTTAATTCAAAACAGGAGATTTTATGCTATGAATGTATCAAAACATTGATGATGCATATATTTATATTGCCTGCCTGCCTTTCAAAATTTTTCCTTTCATATCAAATATGCAAAAGTTGGAGTTTAAAAGAAAGTCAACTAAATTTAGGTTAATATACTTTACCAAGTTATGGGAATACTTAACATGCATGAGAAATTGTTTTAGAATATCTCCTTTCTTTAATTAGCATAAAGAGTGAGCTAAATGGTTTAAGAATTAGCTTGCAAAACTTCTCATTGTATCAGAATGTTCTAAGCTGCTTAAAACACCTCTCAAAAATAGAGCTATACAAGGATTTTATTTATTCATTTGGTGTTCATAGGCTACCTATTATAAGAATCTGTGACAGACTCTGTAAAAAGGTGAGTGTACATTCAGAGTTGAATTTAAAAAAATGATCTCTTTGAAAACTTAGAAAACAATGTAAATTTGAAAAATTATGTCTTCCCAAACATAGAGAATAAAATGCTTTCAGACAGGAATTGCACTGGCCTCAGATGTCCTAGGGTGACCAGTTTTCCCAGTTTGCCTAAGACTGAGAGGTCTCCTAGGATGTGGGCCTTTCAGTGGCAAAGCCTGGACAATACCTGGCTAACTAAGCAGTTGATTATCCTTTGTAGGACAGGATCATGATTTGTATGCAGGTATTGACTCTCCTTAATCTCCACCACGTTTTATCTTTTTACCATTTATTATACTTCCTGTACACTGACCTTCCTTTCCTCTCTTTCAAAATTAAAAAATGACTACTTTCACTTCTTTTCCAGTACTTCAACTGTGAAGCTAAGCCAAAGAGAATGTAACATTCTCCTTAATGCTTGAACTAGAATCACCTCTGACTTAGAGCTGAAGAGAATGTAATATTCTCCTTGAACAATGCTTGAATTAGAATCACCTCTGACTTAGCCCTACCTAATAGAAACTTGCCTAGAATGAAACTGTCTGACAGAAATCATTCAGGAATATGAGAGTACTGAGTAATTTGTATCACTCTGTTCCCACAGAACACAGTGGCTGCTGCGGTAAGTTCTTAGCACTTTGCCTTATAAAACATAGGCCCTTTAAACGTGTGCCAATACTGTTTATTATGACAATGAAGATGAAAATATTTCAAAACGGAGATGATGATAATGATGTAATTGATACAGAAGAATAAACTGTGCTCTTGGAGTTGACATAAATATAACATTGGCTTAAAAAACTCCATGAGTGAATTTTGTCATTAGACTCCCTGGATTCAGATTTCCATGTGGCCAGTGTCTGTGTGACAATGAGCACATTTGATAATTACCAAATTTCACCAACTACCTCATATGTAAAATAGTGACATGAATATTATTAATTCTTAAATGTATTCTCATGATTAAACAAAATAGCATGGTAAATGGCACATAAAGCATCAATGTGAACTCTTAGTAAATGTTTGCTGTTCTACAGTAAGTAAACATAATGTGACCTCAATTCACTCCTTCCAGGAAACGGCTGTCAATGTTTATTTGGCAGTACAATGCATCCTGCCAAAAAAAAATGGTTTAAGTTTTTTCTGTAGGTAGTTTTATATTTTGTACCACTTTTATCTTATTCCGACAATTAATTATTATAAATAAATCCTATTGTTGAACTTAAATTGATAATTTTCTACAAACCAATGGGTGCTTGTAAACACTGTTTCAGTTTAAGATGGACAAATAATGTCTCCCTCTGAATTCATCCTATATGACGCCTTCAGGGCTGGCTTTCTAATCACATACTACTTCCTCTCTCAGAAATCTAAAATTTCTCCCTTATTGACTACTTAATAACAAAATAATTCCATATCTTTGAATATAATAATCTCAAGTAGTCCTATCTTTTTTTTATTTTTATTTCATTAAGACAGGGTCTGGCTCTATCACCCAGGCAGTAGTACAGTGGCACAATCTCAGCTCACAGCAACCTCCACCTCCCAGGCTCCGGCAATTCTCCTGCCTCAGCATCCTGAGTACCTAGGATTTCAGGCCAGCTAATTTGAAACTATTTGTAGAAACAGGGTCTTGATATGCTGCCCAGGCTGATCTCAAACTCCTGGCCTCAAGTGATCCTCCCACCTTGGCCTCCCAAAATGCTGGAACTATAAGTGTGAACCACACACCAGGCTAGTTTTATTGGAAATCACCTTCTCTTTCTTTTTCCCTTTCCATTCACATTCCTCAAAACCTGTTTACTTTTGGAGACAATACCACATTCGTGTGGACTAAAAGCAGAGTTATTGATGAGAATAAAAATGCTCCCAGATAAGAAAAGACATGCAGGAGACAGAAGAACAGTATAAATGGTAAATATAATGGTAAATATAAAGGAATATTGACTGAGCAATAAAAATCAAGGGCGCTAGGGTTTCAGATATCACACTCATGTTTTTAGTTAGCCTTTCCATTACTTTATCCAAGACAAAATTAAGTGTGCTATGTTACTATATACAATTGTTTTATATTTCTAGTAATTTTTTCATGGTCTCAAAGCATATTAGTTTATTGTTCATTGTTTTATCACTGATGCTGAAATAACTGAGAATGTATATTACATTTGCTTTAACTCCCATGCATTCTTTGCTTATCAACTATATAAAGATAAAATTATTAAAGACTCAATGTGCTTGTGAGGACAAAATTATATCACCTCTGCAGAGGACCTAACATAGAGCCTGTAACATGCCAAAGACCCAAATAATGGTGGCTGTAACATTCCTTCAGTATGGGTAAATTAATACTAAAGCTAGACATTCTGAAATAGATTATGGATTAAACAAATGCTCTATTTTTTCCTCTAAATAGTTAAAGATGAATATGTCAGTAGCTAAAATTTATTTAACAAATTATTGAGTGTACAAGGCCTGAGAAAGCAAAACAGAATAAATTTGTGAACCCACATTCAAAAATTGTTTTTATTTATGTCTCTGTTTAGATATCAGAGGTACAGTATGATCTCTGAAAACTTAAAGAACATTTATAAACATAAATTTATGAATAAATTCACAACTACTTTGAATACTTTCACTAGATTCGTCCAATCATAATAGTTCTAAAAGCCATCAATTCATGTAACTGTCTGTGCATAAAAATGTACCAAAATAAATAAGCATAAAAGAAAACCGACAGCAACCAGGTGCAGTGGCTCACGCCTGTAATCCCTGCAGTTTGGGAGGCCAAGACAGGAGGATCTCTTGAGACTGGGAGTTTGAGACCAGCCTGGGCAAGAGATGAGGATCTCTTTTAGAAAAGAAAGTAAAAAAAAAAACAGAAAATATAATGCTATAGAAGTTTTCGGGGGAAATAACATAGGACACAAATTTCTCTTGTGTCCTAGCAATTATTTTCCAGAAAACTTTCCAGTTGCCATTTATCCTTGAGTATGCTTTAGAAACAGTGGCTCCATCTGTCTGACATCTAATATTTATATCAATTTATTCAATTTTTAGAAATAATAAATTTAAATCTCATGGAGCTTAAATGGCAAGTTTATAGCTATAATGAAATTAAGACACAACCCTACATTTTATATTTTTAAATCCAATTACCTTGACATTATATAACAATAAATAGCTGGTTCAGTCAATTTTGGCAATGTGCTTCTCAAACTGATGAAAAACTACTAGCACAGACATTTGGTTAAATTGTTTAGTATTTGGATTAGATACACTAGTCAATGTTCCCATTAATATATAGCCTCAAAATATAGGTTGGGCATTTTTCATCTGAAATATCCCCACTATAATTAGCCCTGTCAGCTTGTATTATTTCAAGTATCTTCACTCACATATATCTCAAGGACATTTAAATGTACCATGGAATTAACTAAATTAGTGAGATATGCAATAATTTGCATTATAGTTCCATTAAATATATATGTATATCCAGAATATACACACATGTGCGTGTGTGTGTATGTATGTATTAAGACAAGTTTCAAGTGAATATATCAAAATATTTAAAGGTATTTTAAAAATATTTTTCTTCTCAACCACTGGCTTCAGTTTATCTGAGTCATCCATGGAGGAACATACATTAGAGAATGGGATTTGTCTGGAAAACAGAGGATATTGCCTGGAATACAGATCTCCATCATCGGGGAATTCATCCTGCAAAGTTGTGTCCAATGGAGAATTAAGTCCCTAGATACACACACCTCTCATGTTATCTCCTAATAATAACACACAGATTCTTTCAATTTTCGGTTGTTCACTCTGTGCAATTACTGCCATTCAATCACCCAAGCAGGATGAATCACAGCATTGTAACTGAGTTCATTATTCTGGGCTTCACCAAAAAGCCTGAACTCCAGGGAATTATCTTCCTCATTTTTCTCATTATCTATTTCGTGGCTTTTCTTGGCAACATGCTCATCATCAATGCCATAATCTATAACAACACCTTGCATACGCCCATGTATATTTTCCTTCTCACACTGGCTATTGCGGACAACATCTGTACAACAAGCATCATACCAAAGATGCTAGGGACCATGCTAAAATCAGAAAACACCATTTCATATGCAGGCTGCATGTCCCAGCTCTTCTTCTTCACATGGTCTCTGGGAGCTGAGATGGTTCTCTTCACCACCATGGCCTATGACCGCTATGTAGCCATTTGTTTCCCTCTTCATTATAGTACTATTATGAGCCACCATATGTGTGTAGCCTTGCTCAGCATGGTCATGGCTATTGCAGTCACCAATTCTTGGGTGTACACAGCTCTCATCATGAGGTTGACTTTCTATGGGCCAAACACCATTGACCACTTCTTCTGTGAGATACCCCCATTGCTAGCTTTGTCCTGCAGCCCTGTAAGAATCAATGAGGTGATGGCATATGTTGCTGACATTACCCTGGCCGTAGGGGACTTTATTCTTACCTGCATCTCCTATGGTTTTAACATTGCTGCTATTCTCCGTATCCGCACATTAGAAGGCAAGAGGAAGGCCTTCTCAACATGCTCATCCCATCTCATAGTTGTGTCTCTTTACTATTCTCCTGTGATCTACACCTATATCCGTCCTGCTTCCAGCTATACATTTGAAAGAGACAAGGTGGTAGCTGCACTCTATACTCTTGTGACTCCCATATTAAACCCGACAGTGTACAGCTTCCAGAATAGGGAGATGCAGGCAGGGATTAGGAAGGTGTTTGCATTTCTGAAACACTAGTAGTTTTGATGTGGGACATCACCTATCTACTCTAGAACCATTTTCTAGAGCATCTCAGATTTTACTGATCTTTCATAGTTACCTCCATTCCAAATTTCCCCTCTTATTCCTGCCTTCTTCCTAGCAGTCTCATTATCTCCAAAATTCTGTACTCTTATGTGAAGAATATTCATAAAGCAATATATGCAATACACTCACATAAATATATATAATGTATATCCCAACATTTTCCAAAAATGTGTACATAACTTCTAATATTTATATATGCATATACACAAATATTTGCCTATAAGGGCATGAGCACATCATACATGCAAATATCACAAAACATTTTATGTATTTTGTGCTGTTTATTTGTTGTTATGTGAATGTGAGAGGAAGAAAAGTAGTGTGTGTGATAAATTTTCCCTTCCTGAATAGGCTGGGTTAATTTGCTTGGAGCATTGTAATAATGAGGCATCTACTCTGGGATTCAACCTCATTAAGTTATTTAGATTTCATTGGAGAAATTGTTGCACATATATATCATGGAATATTATGCAGTCATAAAAAAATGAGTTCATGTCCTTTGTGGGGACATGGATGAAGCTGGAAACCATCATTCTCAGCAAACTAACACAGGAACAGAAAACCAAACAGCCAAGTTCTCACTCATAAGTGGGAGCTGAACAATGAGAACATATGAGCACAGGAAGGGGAACATCGCACACCAGGGCCTGTCGGGGGGTGGGGGGATAGGGGAGGGATAGCATTAGGAGAGATACCTAACGTAGATTATGGGTTGATGGGTGCAGCAGACCACCATGGCACATGTATACCTATATAACAAACCTGCATATTCTGCACATAGGTATACATATGCCATGGTGGTCTGCTGTACCCATCAACCTGTCATCTACATTAGGTATTTCTTACAGATATATGTATATATATAATATTTTATTATATGATATATATAACATAAACTGCAATATAAGCAAATATGTCACTTTCTGCATATTTTTTTTATTTAATATAATCTAGAGATAACTTCATAATGGTCTTACATACAAATGTGCACTCACACACATATGTACCTATATGTACAGATATACATACATGCACATGTGCATACATATATTACACATTCCACAATACTTGTAATTTTTTGACTCTTTGGAATTTATTGAGACTTATTTTTAGGGTGAAATAAATGGTCAATTTTTAAGTTGTTTTCTATGTGCTGGTAATAGTCTCCACTCTCTTATTGGGAGAGTATAACATACAGTATTAGTTTAATGTATGCATTTTCAAGTTTATTAAGGTATTTACATATTTGATATGTCTGCAAATAGAATACTATTGGTTTATTATTTAGGCTATTTCATTAGGTTTATAAAATTTGTTGATCTTGTGCTCTGATTTTATTTATTCTTCTTTATGACATCTTTTTGTGATCAATTTACATTCATTTCTTTTTGTAATTAAAAAAACTGACATAAAATTTACATGTTATTGTTTACAGCCTAACATTCTGAAGCACAGATGCATTGCGGAGTGACTGAATTTAGTTAATTAATATATGTATTACCTAACATAATTATCATTTTTATGGCAGAAACACTGTATATCCACTCTCATTTTCTAAGAGTACAGTACGTACGGTTTTCTACAGAGCTAGGAAAGTCACAGTATGGGCTAGACAGGGAAGAAAGTTTTTTCCCTGAAAAAAAACAAAACAGCAAAGGAATACTGAAAATAATAAAATGTAAGGTATCTCATGGATCTGTGGGGAAATAACATAAGAAGAAGATCTACCATTCATATATTCAAAGTCTCAAAAGAAAATGAATGTGAAACACAAAAAGTATTGGAAGAAATAATGGCCATAACTATCCAAGATTTGGTGGAAGGCATAAATCTACAAATTCAAAAAGATTAGAAAACCCCAAATAGGATAAATATAAATAAATCTGCAACAAACCACACCACAAGTAAAGGTTTGAAAACTAAAGACAAAGAAGGAATCTTAATGACAACCAGAGAGAAACAAGAGGTTACCTATAAGAGAAACACCAACTGATTTACTGATTGATTAAGGTTAAGGAATGTGTTTCGTTTTGGTTTTGCTCCTGATAGCTTTTTATTTTATATTATTTTTAAAATTTTCATACACTTTCAGGCTTATAAGAACCTCACGAAAATTTTTAAAGTATTTCTAAATACACTTCATCCAGATTCAAAAGGGTATCTCTTGATATTTCACCATGAAACATGAAGTTTAATGTAGGAATTTTTTCACAGATGCTGTTTATTAGATTAAGAACATATTATTGTATTTCTTCTTTCTAAGAGCATTCTTTTTAACTTTTATTTTAGGTTCAGAAATACATGTACAGGTTTGATCTACAGGTGAACTGCATGTCACAATGGATTAGTGTGCACATTTTTTTGTCACCCAGATAATAAGCATAGTAGCTGATAGGTAGTTTTTCAATCCTCACACTCCTCTCTCTCTCTACCCTCAAGTAGTCTCTGTTGTTATTTTCTTTGTGTCTGTATTGACTCAATGTTTAGCTCCCACATGTAAATGAGAACATTTGGTACTTAGCCTTCTCTAGTTATTTTGCTTAGAATGACAACCTCCAGCTCCATCCATGTTCCTGCAAAGGACATGATCTCATCCCTTTTTATTGCTGCATGGTGTTTCATGGTGTATATGTACCCCATTTTCTTTATCCAGTCCAACATTGATGGACATTTAGGTTGGCTTCAACTCTTTGCAATGATGAATAGTGCTGCTTGAAAAAAAATTAACAAACAATAAAACATACCAGCAAAGAAACAGAAGTTATGAAGAACCAAATGAAAATAATATAACTGAAAATAATCAAATATATCATAAATAAAGAAACAAATGAACATACATTTTCATGTGCCTTTATGGTAGGAACAAGTTATATTCCTTTGGATATATACTCAAAAATGAGATTTCCAGGTCAAATGATACTTATATTTTAAGTTCTTTGAGAAATTGCTAAATGACTTTCCACAATGGCTAAACTAATTTTCATTCCCACCATCAGTGTCTTCGCATTCCCTTTTCTCTGCAACCTTGCCACCATCTGTTATTTTTTGACTTTTTAATAATAGGCATTCTGATGGGTGTGATAATGGCATCTCATTGTGGTTTTGACTTGCATTTCTCTAATAAACAGTGATGCTGAGAATTTTTTCATATGCTTGTTGCCAGTCTACATACTTTCTTTTTAAAAGTGTCTGTTCACATCCTTTGTCTACTTTTTAATGGGGTTGTTTGTTTTACACCTGTTAAATTGTTCAACTTCTTTATTGACCCTGGCTATTATAACTTCATCAGGTGCATACTTGGCAAAGATTTTCTCCCATTCTGTATACTGTCTGCTTACACTGTTGATAATTCCTTTTGCTGTGCAGAAGCTATTGCTATTTTAATTAGGTCCCATTTCTCAATTCTCGGTTTTGTTGCAATTGCTTTTGGTGTCTTCATCATAAAATCTTTGCCAGGGTCTATGACCAGAATGGTATTATTTCCTAGGTTATCTTCCAGAGTTTTTAAAGTTTTAGGTTTTACATTTAAGTATTTATGTATCCTGAGTCGGTTTTTTATATGGTGTAAAGAAGAGATCTAGTTTCAATCTTCTGCATATGCCTGGTCAGTTACCCCAGAACCATTTATTGAATAGGGAGTCCTTTCCCATTGCTTGTTTTTGTCAGGATTTGTCAAAGATGATGGTATAGGTGGGTGGCATTACTTTGGGGCTTTCTATTCTGTCCCATTGTTCTATGTGTCTGTTTTTGTACCAGTATTATGCTGTTTTGGTTACTAAAATCTTGTATAGTTTGATGTCAGGTAATATGATCCCTTCATTTTTGTTCCTTTTGCTTAGGATTGCCTTGGCTATTAGGGCTCTTTTTTGGTTCTACATAAATTTAAAAATCTTTTTAAATTCTATGAAGAATTTCATTGATAGTTTGATAGGAATAGCATTGGATCTGTAAATTGCTTTGAGCACTATAGCCATTTTAATAGTGCTGATTCTGCCTATCCATGAACATGGAGTTTTTTTCCATTTGTTTATGTCATCTTTGATTTCTTTAATCAGTATTTTGTAATTCTCCTTGTAGAGATCTTTCACCTCTGTGATAGCTGTATTCCTAGGTATTTTATTCTTTTTTCTTTTAGCTATTGTGAACAGAATTTTGTTCCTATTTGGCTATCAGCTTGGATATTTTTGGTGAATAGGAATGCTATGGATTTTTTTGTTTTTGAGACTGACTGAGACTCACTCTGCTACCAAGGCTGGAATGCAGTGGTGTTGATCTTGGCTCACTGCAACCGGCATCTCCCAGGTTCAAGCCATTTTCCTGCCTCAGCCTCCCAAGTAGCTGGGACTACAGGTGTACACCACCACGCCCAGCTAATTTTTGTATTTTTAGTAGGAATGGGGTTTCACCATGTTGGCCAGGCTGGTCTTGAACTCCTGACCTCAGGTGATCCACCCTATATGAAAAACTCACTGCTAACTTTCTGCTGAATGAGGCCAAGTTGAAAGCTCTTCCCCTAAGATAAAGAAAAAGAAAAGAGTGTCCACTCTAGGCACTCATATTCAACATAGTACTGGAAGTTTTAGCCAGAACAATTAAGCAAGAAAAAAAAAAGGCATCCAAATTGGAAAGGAGGAAGTTAAACTGTCACTGCTTAAAGGTGACATGTTATCATATATAGAAAACTCTAAAGATTCTACCAAAAACTTGTAGAACTGATTAACAAATTTAGAAAACTTGCAGGATATAAAATCAACATACAAATCAATAGCATTTCTGTATACTAATTCTTCAGCTATAAAAATAAGTCAAGAAAAGAATTTCATTCTCAATAGGTAAAAATATAAAATAAAATACTTAGGAATAAATTTAACTAAGGAGGTTAATGATTTCTGTACTTTAAACTATAAATCATTGATTTAAAAAATTGAAGTAAAACACAAATAAATGGAAATATATCCTGAGTTCATTTTGGAAGAATAAAAAAAAATGTCCATACTCCCTAAAGCGATCTACAGATTTTATGCAATCCCTATCAAAATACTGATGACATCCCTTATATACACAGAAAAAAAAAATCTACAATTCTTATGACACCACAAAAAAATACCAAATAGCCATAGCAATTTTGAGTAAAAAGAAGAAGCATGAAGACATTACATCACAGGCTT